CGATGAAAAAGAWTCTCGAAAACGAAACACCAGGACATCAAGAACGCAGTCGGCTGCTTCAAAACATGTCCAGTCTTCAGACGAAAGTGACGAGGTATTACATACTGTCTCCTTGTTGTCTATTTTTGATTAGTCATGATGTGTCGTCACTGACAAGTGTGGYTATCTGTTAGTCTTTTCTTTAGTTGTGTTGTTTTTTCTATCTTATTTGTTACATTTAAAAATGTTTTTCTAAGAAATTTTGGACCATATTCATTTACCTTGTTTCGTCCTTTTTCCAGGAAGAAGAATCTGTCAAACCAAAACAAGCAAAACGAAGAAAGAAAAACAATTCATCCGTAGAATCTGACAGCGATGAGTAACAGACCACCTCACCCCTCAAACAATGAACAACAGCCCCACCTTCCTTGAATCATGATGAATATCTTTAGATCTCCTAGACGCGCATTCCAGTCAAACAGGCCCATTAGAAATGATTTATCCACAAGGGTGACTGATGGTGCTGTTTTTTATTTGAAAAGATTGGTCACTATTGTAATACTGGTTAATATAATAAAATTATTGCTAGGCCGATTATAAAAACTGTCAAATATCTTGGTGTTTTGCTCCTATGTTATATCTATTTATTTGGCAACAATAAAGCACACAAAAAGCAGTTTATCTGACGTTTCTACACTACGGTAGTACTAGCTACAATTTTGGTGAAATTTTAAAGAAACGTACCAGCTTGTGCCATATGTAAAGTCTCTTCAAAAATTCACAAAAGGCGTACAACAACCTGAATGTATGATCACATAACCTTTACTTTTCAGTACCAGACAAAATAGACAAAAATCTGATCCTGTCTTTTGTGTGCTTTCTTAATCGTTGCCATGGAGAGCCTAATTCTCATAAAACTAAATCACAAATTAAAAGGTTTATCCATAGTTAATATAATATATATCTTTCTTTCATTTCTATATCGTGTTTATCATAGTGCCACGCGGTCTTCATATTCATATCTTTACATTATTCTATTACCGCAACCTTAACATCTATTTCACCCCGACCTGCTCCCAGTCTGGCCTTGTAGCTCAGCTGGTAGAGCATCGGTGTACAATCCGAAGGTCGTGGGTTCGAATCCCAGCGAGGTCGGAAATTAATTTTTCCGAATTTATTCCTAAGGGACTTCTCCCGGAATTGCCTCCTTCCAAGCACTATATCTTTCTTTCATTTCTATATCGTAATATAATAATAGTTAAGTACAGTTTACAACATGAGCGGCCGTGTTGTATGAGAATTACAATCTCTGAGTTTAGTCGCTATTAGGCATGCGCAATTTACTGCAACACAGGACATTTTGAATAATTATCCATACCACATGGAAAGCAAGCCATCTGTTGCATAAGCGAGTTCTGTTATCCGTCTTTGATTGCTTCAAAACCTAGTAAAGGTCTATGATGCGATACTAAAACTGAGACCTTTGCTAGTGTTGGGTTGTCTCAAGGTGACGACCGTGTCAGTAAACTATACTACAAGGTCAATCACCTGATTAAATGGATAGCCCTTACTGGAGTAATAGCTCATGCAGTATTGATAAGTTTATAATAATAGTTAACATTAACTATGGTTTATCACGCAAGAACAACAACTCAGTGCAGAAATAACGTAATTTACATATTTACAAGCGACAGTAATRACAACCKGCCCTGGAGAGACATGCCGAAAGCACACTGTCACTGTTCGTGTTGATGTTCGTGTTGAATCAATACTGATTTGGGTTTTTCAGTTTCATTTTCATTTGTTGACATAAATCTGCGATGAAAGATGCTTTTTACTTACAAATTGAGTGTGACATCATCACCGATCAGGAAGAAAGGAGCCCAGTACTTGGGATCCCTGTGGCCTTCTTTTCTAATATCATGCATGGCTTTATGAAGACTTACACTTGCACTTTCACCTCGAGTCAGATAACCGTAAAACTTCAGCATGAAACACAAAGTTATTACGTCGTCGATTGCCCACAATGACGCTACGACAGAACGAGCACCGGCCGCTAGGAAAGCACGACTAAGTCCAACCATACCCTCAGCCCTAATCTCACCAC